TACCTTCCGTTCCCGACCTATGATCCCGACGACGAGGATTCGAACCCCGCCAGGGCGATCCTCCCCTGTTTCTCCGATAACTTCGACGTCCTCGAAACTTCGAAGGACTGCGACGCTGCCAGGAGCGAGGCCGACCAGCTCTCCCAACTTTGGGAACTGCGATCTGATCTCCCTCCACGGCGCGCTTTCCAACCTATTATCGTCCCCGGAGATAATCATCTTCATAGCCCCGTTTAGCCATCCCTGCTCCGGCTGGCGCTTCACGTGCTTCAGGCACTCCTCCGGCCAATTGAGGTCTAACAGACCAAGCCGGTCCTCGAACGTCTCCGCTGCCGCTACGGCCCCCTCTAAAGCCTCCAGCTCCCGTTCCTTCTCCCTGCGCTCGGCCCCATCTCCTCGGCACTCGTCGCAAGGCGACTTCCGACCGAAACTCCTCCAGTTCTGCCTCAAGACCGTTGAAGAGGGTGGGTAAAAGCCTCCCCAGCTCCTTCAGCTGGACCTTGGTGTCCTGAGCACCACACAGCTCCCGCAGCCTGCCTATGTATTGCTTCATCGAAGCCATTCTCTTCTCGAGGCGAGCCCCGCACCCGCTAATCCCTGAACCCACGCCCCGTTCCGAATACCCCCTTCCCCACCTGAGACGACCCCCAGCCGTCCCGCAATCGCTCCGATCTGAGCCTACACCCCCCTGATCCATGAGTTCGACTTCCCCAAACCCTTCTCCGGCGTGCGAACAACCGCGCCCCCCTGGCGAAGGCCCTCGGCGCTGCCAGCACCAAGGCACTCTGCCAGGCCGTACCCCTCGCACGATCCTCGGTGCTTACGCCCGGGAGATCCCTGATATCCCCCTCGGGTGACCGACGATCCATCCGCCCGCGAAAAAAATCCCAGCTATTCCCCCTTGAAAGAAAAAAAAGTGCGAACTCACCCCAGATAGTCCTAAACAGGCCCAGTCACGCACTACACCCCACGAATCGCCGAAACCCTTGGGTCAGGTATAGTTCCGCCCGTCTGCAGACCAGGACCGCCCCCTCGAGAGCAACCTTCGCCAACCACACACCGCACTACGAATCAGAACACAGCCGGGGCAGGAGCTCGGAATAATGCAACCGCACTCCACCGTGTCTCGGAGCAGACTCCCCGTCATCGTTCGGTCATCTTGATACGAATCCAGCTTTCTTGAAACAGTCCTGGATAGTCTTTCGGCCAATTTGGGACCAGGCCTGTCGCAGTAGGTGGAGAGCCCTCAAAACATCGACAGACTTCGCACATTCCTCGATCGCTCTCCCTGATTCCAGGTCCCGCAGGAGGAGTCTCAAGACTTGCGAACGATAGTGAGCTTCAGTTGCTCTGATAATCCTCTGATCCATGGGTTTGATCAAGGAGGTCGTGTTGGGTGGCATGAAAATCAAGCGAATGTTCTTCAGAGTGACAGTTGCTTCCAATTTATGACAAGTGGCTCTTCTGCGGGCTCAGCAGTACTTCCCCTTGGGGTTCCAGGACCCTGAGCGCTCCAGGTTCCGTACCAACCCGTGTGACATTCATGTCTAAGGGGAAAAGTCGGACTCTTCAACTGAGAGAGGTGCTGTATGTTTTAAGGCTTCGTCGAAATCTGCTATCCGTCTCCAAGCAAGATCTTCCGAGATTCTAGTTCTCTATCCCATCCCGGAGGATATCTGACCAGATCCAGATCGTCATCCAAGCCTTCGTGCTGCTGTAGTACGGGATCGGCACAGGACCGCGGGAGAAGCAACGAGGATTTTTGGGTTTTCCTATCGCGAAGATCATCTTGTCTGTGCAATCGCAGTTCGACACAAAGAGGACTGCCAGACGATCCCTCTCAGACTTCCCTCCCGAGGGGTCGTTTATTGAAGCAGCAAGCGTTCCGGGAGACGTCGCCTTGAAAAATAGCCCAGATTCATCAGCGTTGTAGATCTGGTCCGGGGCGAATCCTTCGATAATGGCGGGCTAAACATGGTCGATCCATTCATTTGCTGATTCGTGACCCGCCGCTGCTCTTTCGCCGTTCAGCTTGAAGAACCGAATCTAATGGCGCTTCTTGGAGCGATGCACCCAGCCATTCGGGGCTCGGAAGCTGTAGTGACCGGGCTCGGTTGCGAGCTCTCCGGCTCGGAAATCAGCCCCATGCGAGGACCCGATCTAGCACTCCCAAGATGAATCCTGTGGACTCCACTGCGGAAGCTCGCTCACGTTTCCGATTCGCGTTCTCGTTCCCCAGAAGTTCAAGTCGGAGATCACACTCATCTTCCTTCATCTTGAAGATGGTTCACTTTCCGATGCTTAGCTTTTCGACGGCACTGTGAATGGCTTTTATTTCAAAAAGTCCAACACCGAAACCTTTCCAAGCGTGGAGAGTGTTTTTCGCGACATTCCGACCGCTGTCGTCAAAGCCATAGAATCGAACGCGAAATCGCGCGACTGACTGGAAAGATTCGCTTCCGTCTAAGACGTGCATTCAACGTTCCCTCTGTCGTTCTGGTTTTGCCACAACAATCTCCCGGAAGAGAGAAGGGCATTTCGAGAGGAGCCTCGATCTCTCATGAGCGAATGGAAGGCTGGATGGTGCGGGCGTCGACCCTCTTTCAAGCGAGTTTCTCTAATAAGCGAGTCTCTTTCAGGCGAATTCTTCAGCATGGAAGTCTATGGGCTCGGAAACTGGTGAATCTCGTCGGTCTCCTATATGTGCGATTCTCTTATAAGCATATCTCTTACAAACTGTACTCGAGTCGCGAAAAGTTCAAAAGTTCTCCCGCGACTCGTGCGGGTGCGTTTACAGTATGACCGAGGTACTTCTTCGTTTGATTCGATGAACCAGATTGATACCAGAATGAACGACCGGAGTCAATTCCCTGTTTCTGAACGGGCGGAGCACACGGGCAGTCTCCAACAAAGGCGGCGGTCGTGGATGGTCGAAGAGTAGACGGGCATACCCAACGATAACCTCATAAAGAGAAGCACATTGGAGTCGGCTGCCAGCATCCCTGCCGGGATCTGATCGACTCTGATTGCTTCTTCGATCTCATGTCGCAGATGCTCCACAGGCCGCTTACGGGAGGATGAAGACCTCGTGAAGAAGAAACCGATTCCACTACATGTAAGAGGAATTGTCCGGAATCATTCGCCGAATTGCCTGGAGTGGCTCACGCGGGGAAGGACATCTACCTTCCTGTGATTACGAAGACTCGCGGTTACGCAGTTGATTTAATTGGAACATTTTTTATCTCGGAGGTCCCCACTTCTATTCGAGTCCGTTCCTGCAATGATCCCCGACTGACGTGAGGTCCATGGCTTGCTTGGAATCTCGGTAAATGCCTCGGAGTACATCAAGTTTTTTATGAGCAGGAGCGAATATTGCACGCATTCTTCCAAGGAGAATGCCGGAGTGGGCTCCCCAAGGAGAATACAATAATTTCCCCCCTCAAGATTATAATAATTGTGGCGAATGAGCTCATATTTTATTCCGCGCGTGTCTCAGTTTTTTTTCCAATCGTCCAACGATTCATCGAGCCTGACAAATGGGCGGCTGGTGCGATGATGGTCATTCGAACCGCGGGACGCGAATATCTCTATATTTCTCCATTCGACTTTCGTACCGCTGCCCTTGTAGATTGGGACCCTCTTTTTGAAAGGGTGTCCGGGCTTTCCGCGTCCAAATGAGTCGAGCGCGAATCGGAGCTGATGTCTTCGATATCTCTCCTTGGCCGGCTTGACGCTGCGAGAAATCGCACCTCATGCACGCATATCGATGGATTCCCTAAGGAACAAAATCAGATGCGAATCAGATTCAAATCTTCAACCACCCTCTCTGTTCATCCCTCTCTCTCTTCATCGGGGTGCCGCGACATGCTCTCCGTACCACCTGGAAAAATCGGATAGTAGATACATCTCGAACAAATCAATTTGAGGAGAGAACAAGGCATGACATGCATATTCTGTTATGCAAGAACGAGGAGATATCGCTGCCGATCTCGAGCACGAGTCAGGTCTGAAACTGCCTCGAAGAGCGAACCACCCAATCGATTCCCGCGTCGTAGGCCCCGATATCGCGTTCAAGTTTTTTCCGCTGTTTCGCGTGTTTTCGGAAATAATCAGCAAGGTGCGCCTGACCGTGGACTCTCCCCGTCCGATTGACGAACTTTCCGTGCTTCGCTCCGAAGCTAAGCGACCGAGCCGGAAAGTCAGGTCTGAGGAATGCCGTCGACAGAGAGGCGGCATTCAGCTCATTGCAGAGCGTCGTCTTGAATTTCCCCATTCGGGGACCACTAGAATCCTTCCCCTCTCCTTGTAGATGCTCACCAAATGAGTAGTGAGGAGTATCGTGAGGCGAAAGCTTGCTGTCGAAATCTTTCAATTGTCGACGAGCCTCTCGCTGCGAGCGATGTGGAATCGGAGCAATGTATCAAACAAGTACGACATTAGGTCTGAAGCAGTGATCGAGCTCGGAGTCGATCTTAGCGTAAGCGATAACTACACTTACCGCCGTATCAGAGTACAGAAACCCCATCATGTCTCCTCTCCTGAGCTTCGGAATCGTCGATTCATCCCGTCGCTTGATTGCTAGCAGTCCCGATTGGCACTCACGGCACTCGACTGGGAGCGTCCGGCACAGTTTTGGAAGAGGTCTCTGAATTCGCAACATCCACTTGGGTCGGATTCCACTTGCCTGATCGACGCCATAAACATTGAGCTCGGGCGCGGATCTCTCCCATAAGGTGGATAGATCTAGGAGAAGCTATGCCGCCAGCTGAGGAAGTTCCTCAGTTCTCGATATTCAGAGCGAGGTTCCGAGTATCATTCACAAGTCATGCAGGAGTCGGAACTCCGAATAATCTGCTAAGAATTATCCGGGAGATTATTCTGAAGAATCTACCATACGGAGGGAAAATTTGCCTAGGTCGATCGATGAAGTCGCATAACTTCTCCCGTCTCTGACGCGATGGCGGAGGAGGGATCAATTATTATTATTAATGCTGTGGTTGGAATTCCATGCGAACGCGACTATCTATTCGCGAGTCTCGAATGCCTGGGATGAAGACCATTCCATCTCCCTGAGATCGTTCGAACAGCCCTCGGATCTCAGTCAGTGCGGGCAGTATACCTCGGACCGCTCACATCTACTGCTCCAGACGATTTTCATAAACATACGGCTGACTGCTCTTATAGTCATTCTGAATTCGGTCGAAGGATAACTCAGTCTCAAAATGAGCGTCTGGGTCTCCATCGCCTTCGTGATTTTGGCGACTCTGGCAGTCGCCACTGCTCAGAACGATGCTGCCGAAGCCGAGAGGACCGTGGGTGACATCCTTCGACGAGGTGAGCTGCAGAAATCTAGAACTCCGTCATTTTAAAAATAGCTTCAATCTCATCATCTATTCTCGTTCATTCGTCGAATTTCTCGGATCTTACAGTTTTCCAAGTGGTTCGTGCAATCGCCGCGGGTCTTCCCGGTAAGGGAAACTTTGGAACACTGATTTCACTGAAAGTGTGACAAGGATTGAAAAATGCGGACATTGTCCGATCCAATCCCTAATCAGAGCTTGTTCCTAATTGCAGACATGATCGACTCGATACAAGGGGCTTTAGCCTAGCCGAATCCAGATAGTGCACAGTCGCTGCGTGAATCGGATGGGAGCGATTCTGTCCATATTGTGAATTAAGTCCTAATAAATCCCGTCTTCTGCGCAAGAAGTTTAGGGTTCTGACAATTACGAATCGTATTCTCTTCAAAAGCATTCCGGCTGGCTGAGCAATAACATACGTAGAGCTGAGTCATGATTCGTCGGCCTTGAAGCCTTCTGAGCAAGAATGTCCCTCTATCGGCTGAGAGGATAGCTTCCTCGTCTCGCTCGCTACATCGAAACATGCTATCTGCTCCAGATCCGATATGCGGTGCCATGGAGGCAAGGTGAGCATCGGAACTTATCCTGATTTCTCTGATTTTTGTACCTGAGTCGGACGGTGCAGACCGCGAGGGACGGTGCAGTCGCTAGGCGGTAGCTCGAGAAGTCAGCGAACACAAACTTGCGTTGAGCAGCGTAGGTCTAGAGTCAACTCTCACTTGCGCTTCATGTTGATTCTGCTCTAAGAAGCCTCGAGATCGGCCCAGGAATCCTTCCCTCACATCCGGTTCCCCCGATTCCTTCTTTGATTGGTCTTTGATATAATTGAGTGATGAAGCAGGATCCCATCAACGATTATCATTCAAGGTGGAGACCCTGTGTGACTCAACTCGAGATGCAGGAACAGGAATAGCCTGAAAGCTTTCAGAACATGCATATCGATTCCACGTGAGCTCGTAGCTCTTTGCGTACTCGATAACCTATATCGATAGCGCGTCATCATGACTCATGATTTTTTCCGGAGAGGATCCTTTTGTATCTATGGCGCACGCTCCATGGTTTCACTCATCCTGCGACGCTTCACTACGGGATCACATCCAATTCACCTCGAAGACGATCCCTCAGCAGATCAGTAGAGTCTCCCCCTCCCATCGCGAGGAACTCCGCTACGCATCGTTCCTGAAGTTCCTTGGTATTCCGCAGAAGCTCCTAGAGCACGAATTCCTCGCGGAGTTGCTCTTCCTCGAAAAAACGTACGTACTGGATAGTTTCTTCCCCTAACCCTCACGAACAACAATATGGGTGGTCGATTTTGAAGCTCACTGCGGTACTTCGGAGTCGGTAGCATCCGTGCTCTCCCTGATGCGAGTAAGGTACTACTTTTCTTATTGTTATACTCGCCGACCGCGGTCAATTCCCGTTCCTCTAAATATGCATGCACTGTATATGCATGGGTGACGGCTTGGTTTTCAAAACATCCCTTCTCTCTATACCCTGTCCTGCGTTTCCCGGACTTATTTTGCCCCTGGTCCAGCTCAACCCAGAGTGGTCGCCCTTCGTCAGCGTACACCACGGGTATTTCCCCATCAATGTATTTCTCGCGCACGGTTTCCAACTGTTTGACTGCCTCAATATGTGTGTCTGTCAGTGCCGTCATTGACAATAGCTTCGGGGATGAGGTAGTACATATTCGGATCTTCGAGTTCAGTGAGGTTCGTTTTTTCAAAGTCGATGTTTGCCGAAGTGGTTCCGCAAAATGCCACATAATATTCAATTTTGAAGTCTCACATGTGCCCTACGCTCAGAGCGATTCCGTTCCGGACGGTTTTCTTGAGTACGCTCGCGCTATTCGCGGTAAGGATCGCAAAGCCAGCGCGGTAAATAGAGAAAACAATTTGTGTTTCAAGACCAACTATATTACAAAGTTCCGTTTCATTTATTATGATCACCGTCATAAGGGTACTCTTTGGTGGTAAAAAATAGCTTGGCTCTGACAAGAGCATTTCTGTATCCCCATGGAGAGCTTTTTTAAATAAGATCATGAGGTCGAATCATCCTTCGCTGTCAAATACGTTCTGCCAGGTGAGCTGGCCGAAACACATGATTCCTCCATTTTCGCGATTCTCTGCTCACTGAATTCTTAGCTCAGTATGTACAGAATACAATTTTTACACGGTCATCGGAAAGAAAGGAGAACAGGTCAATTTCCCCTGCTCGTTTCACTCGTTCCACGCCAGTCCAAATCAGCTACAGTCGGCGGTAGTTTCAGTCAGGCTGGTCTGCGGCGTGTACGAGGCGGCTTCCTGTAGTCTCATCAGCATGTTGAGCTGGAACAATAAGGCACGGAATCAGCAAAAATCCTTCTAGTCGGCCTTCTGCCCGAATAAACGAATCCTATATCACGATTTCATCATGGAATCCAACACGAGATACGATTGCGTGACTCCAAACGAGGATCCCGGGAAATCGAAGAGAACCTCGAGCCCAGACAACTCACCAGAGGGTCCGAGTCCCGATTGCTGAGTGTGGTCTCTCCTGCTGTGATGTCATCCTCGCGGACACAGACCAAGTCCTGCGACGATTTGCGCTCGAACGGATAGCTCTGTTTGACCCACTCGAGTGGGTCTTCCCAGGGTGCTCGTTGACCGTGGAGCTGTAGCCCTTCTCGCGCCGCCTCAACGAGATATGGAACGATAGTGTAATTCCAGAGATCCGTGAACCAGACCTGGGCCGACAGTAGATCGACGGGACACGTGAGGAACAAACGGGGTCCGATCGTCGCGTCCGCTGAGTTGTGGGTCTGGAATGTTGGGGAAATGCACCGGTTGAATAACGACTTCCGGCGGACAAGTGATAGCGGAACAAAATCGAGAACTGCGGTAGCTCAGGTGCTTATGCGACGTCACATCAATGAGAACATCGATAGAATCTCTAGTGGCGCGGAGCTGGGGATCGATGCCACCGGTCCCGTCGTCGCACACGGCTTCGATACGTGTCAACGCGCTCCCTCAACATTAGGCCGTTGCCGTCAATAATAATTATAAGTTGAACGTCACCGTCGACCGGCACCGTTCCGAATCAACACCTTATCGAAGAAGCTGGAACATGCGACAGATTGTATGGATTTGATTTACGATATGACGATGACTCACCTCAAGGAACTTGTTGACGTGCATCCAGACCTGCGGCATCCAGTCGATCACGTGTTGAAGCTCGGGGCTACTGCGGAGGCCGGTGCGGGCCTCGTGGTCTACGAGTCGACGCCTCAGGCATCTTCCCAGAAGACCTTTGACCGGCTCGATGTGATTGGCGCACAGAACCCATCGGAAGTTGTGATTCAATTGCAGGTTCGTGGTTGAGCAGCGGGCCTGGTTCATCGTTCCTGGGAGAGAATTGAATTCTTAGGACCTTTATCTTACGGAGATCGATTATGAGCACATTATGCCTCATCACTCAGAAAGAAATTGTCCCCTTCTCACCTATGATGAAGGGGCACTTCTCAGCGTTGGCCTGGAACAAAGGATTGAAGACATCGGACAGTGAAGCCACGTGGTGCAGATTGTCCACGATGACGACCTGCGGAACTTCGCCCGACTCGCTCTGCTCGGCTAAATTAGCCAGATAGCTCTTCAGTTCCCCTTGGCTGTTCCTGTCCACGTTGAAAGTCGGTATAGCCTCCTCCCCACGCTCGCTGTCTTTCGACAGGTATTCGGCGAGCTTTTGTGCCAGAAAAGTTTTCCCCGTTCCACTGGGTCCGCAGAGGATGATGCGCTTGTGTTCCATGAGCAGGGACACGTATCGCGCGAGTATCGATTTCGGGATTGAAGTTTCGAAAGCCAAAGCGTCTAGTGAGCTCTGGTCGGTTCCTTTGACGACCACCTTGATCTGCATGTCGTTGCCGACCAGGTAGCCGCACGGCAGCAGCTCGGGCGTCACGTCTTTCGATCTGACCATGTCTCCGATATGATAGCATTGCACGGATTCAGCGCTGAGACCCAGGTTCGAAGCGGGGTCGATTTTGAGGACGTATTCCTTGAAAGCCTTGCGGACAATTGCGTCCAGTAACGTCCAGGACGTTTTGTTGCTGACCGCTACACAGCCGATGAAAATCTCGCTGGAGGTCGCTAATAATTTATTCAGGTCGCCGCTGATGCCGAGGTGAACCGAAACTGGGATTTTCTTGCTGTCTCGACTTTCTTGGATGTTGTCGTTGAGATACATGTCTACGGTGGGAGATCCGGATTGATCGGAGGACGAGAGCCTCTTCTCGACCGATTCCAAGGAGTTGGCTTTCAATAAACTCGGGATCGAGCATTGTGAGCTGTTCTCGGAGTTTTGGTCGGGGGCCCCAACCATCCGCGAGAGCCGTTCGTTGTCCGCCTTGAGGTGGGCGATTTCGTTCTTGAGCTTCGTGACCAGTTCTTTCATATGGTCCAGCTGGTGGGCAGAAGATAAAGCCTCGAGCCGGATGTCGGTCAAGACCATATCTTTGTCTCTTAGCTGTTTGCGGAGCTCGTCGACGAGATCGGAATTGGACCGAGTGTCGGCTTCTGTCTCGTCGGCCTCCTGAATAGGAGCTGGGAGTGGACAACTCCTGGGGACTCGCGGTGAATTCGGCGCCGAAGAATCACTACCGTTGCCATCCTCTTTGCCGCTTCCACTACCGCCTGGAAGGAATGACGAGAGTTTGAGGTTGAGAAGAAAAGTTCCGATCCGACTCGATATGACAATCAGTGCGAGAACACGCGTGCGATCCTCTGGCGTTCGGAGGATACACCTGTTCCGCTTTAGCCTTGAATATTTACGACTCGGAACAAGTGTTCAAATGGAAAGGTTGACGTTCCGTCTCTCGAGCTGCATCCGGAAGCATCGCCTTTTTCCGCGTGAACAACGGAAATAAACTGGAATTCGCCGCCTCACTGTTTTTTTTCATGGTCTCAAAGTTTCATGCTCGGGTCGATAGCAAGAAGAGAGGGAGCTATAAGCGAGAGAAAATCAGAAGGACGAAGAAGACTCACCCCTAGAAAATGCTTTCCCGAAGCTCGACCTCAGCCATCCGGAGGATTTCTTTTTTTTGTTCTTTTTCATATTGTTTTCCAGCGTCTCCAGAGAAGATTCCCTCTCCTTGCACATTTGCGAAGGCTGTTGGAGGTGGAGGTTTTGGTGCTGGGAGCCCTGCGAGTTGGCTGAATTCACCGAAGACATAGAGTCACTTGAAAGTTGTCGTGGCATCGATTTCGGTGTTCCGGGATGGCCGTCGTTGCTGTGTAACGCTGCAAAGATTCGGACACTTTGAGTAATCACACTTTAGAACATGGTAGGCGTCGTCGTCGTCTCCGTTGTATCGTTCGGCAGCGAGTAGAGAATCGCAAGTTCGTGGAGGAAGGAGCAGGCATCTTGACGCTATCAAAAACTGACAACGACTGAGTCTACGGAGTCCGACTCTGGCTTATCGGGTCGGAGAGGGAGAACTTTAGTCACTCGTGTTTTCATCTACGAGGGACACCGGTGCCACGCTAGCGCAGGCCGGTTAGGTCAAGAGCACACGATTCGCGAGAGATCGAATAGAAGTAAAATTTCCGGAGAGGTACGAGAATGTCTCGTTCCTTGTGATCTTCTGATCTTTTCGCTCTCGCAAAAGGAATTCTGCCGATCCGAGGAGCGTAGGTGGTACATGCGGAGGAATGAACCCGCATGAATCGCGGGAATTCGGAATCTACACCGAGCGCCGATGCCAAGGCAGGCGATTCCGTGACCGTAAATAAGGTGGAGCAGAAAAGATCAGGGTCAAAAGCCCTTAGGCAGGTCAGAGGTTAGGATTTCAGGTTGAAACCTCGAGCGAGCTCGGTACCGAGGACTCAGAATTCTCGTTACCCAGAACTCATAGAAATTAGCGCAGGGGAAAGATGGAAGCAGGGACCGGTGTGTCAAGATCAAGAGATGAAGTTCATGAATTTCATCTACCGGATTCATCAGCGGCTCCTTGGGATGGAGTCCATCACGCATGATCCTCATTCCGGGAATCTTCAATCTCTCACGAAGTGCTCGTCATCAAGCAATACCATGGGCAATAGTCAATCCATTCGTGTTGGAAAATGAAATCCATCATTCCATTCGCGTCTCCCCACAAACATTCATCCATCCATTCAGTCATTCATTCATCCATCCTAAGATTCGATCGACCGATGATTGCTTCCACGCACTCTCACCGTTAGAACCGTTCTCCTTCGCAGACGTGTTAAATGTGTGTCTTCTAACTACGCTTCGTTTGTCCTGTCTAAGGACGGCCTCCTTCTCCTTACTAAAGCCAGAGTTCTCTTCATCTAATCCTATTTGTTGACATTGCTGTTGACATTGATTATTTTCTAGATGCGGAAGCGATCTGGATGCGAATGTATTACTTCTTTGTACGGCCTGCATCGATTGCAGGGCGGCTTTCGTGAGTCCTGCTTCGGCGCTCTGTTGCTGAAGAGCTTCAATGGTTTTCCGGAGTTCTATCAGTTCCGAGTCCTGGAAAAAAAACATATTGTTACTCCAATGAGTCGAGACGCCCAACGGCTTCATATCTTATCAGCAGAGCAGCGGAGAGCGTCACGATCGAGTCTCATACAGTCTTGCGCGTTTGCAAGACGTATTCTTCTCCGTTTCCAGGTCATCCCCGTGACTCATGTCAAAGACACAGCTTTGTTTTCTCCCCGCGGAATCTGGCTTCGAGAAATCGACAAAGGATAAGCGGGTATCTCGTGTTCGCTTAACGATATTCACCGGAATCCCTTTCAGATGCCAAAACCATCGGGCGCCGATAGCCAGAGTGAAATCGCGAAACCAGCGACCGGGACTTTCTGCCTTCAATTTACTTGTTGAGATAATACGTGCATAAGAAAATCTTATTCAGAAAAGCGGGTTCAGCTCTAATCCCGCGCGTCGGACTGGCCAAACTGGCGCCGTTTCAGTGACCGGCGCTTCTAGAGGTATAAACAGTCGCCGCTGTCCGACAGCGTACGACGGTGGAGAACGTGCTCCGAACAACGGCTCGCGTTCGCACGGCTACCTATCTCCCCGCCCGACCGTTCGTCCTTCTTGTTCAAAGACGCACGTCTTCCAGTCATGAACTCAAACCGAGCTCAAGTTTCCCCGAGTGGGTTTGTGGGATGTGGGGAGGAGTCGCCTGCGGGCGACCCCCGTTCGATGTCGTCTGCGTCACAATAGTTAGCTAGTCGCTCCCGTACAATAGACGGCGGAGTATTTCCCGAAAGCTTGCCGTTGGTGCTTGCGTTCGAGCCGTGGGCTAGATCTGAACTAAATACGTGAGATCACATCTTTCGGAGGCCGGACGATGCCATCTTCTGGTTTGGCATCTGCACACAGCTTGTTTGATAAGCATCATCATCACAGAAGTCGTCGACATCGTTGACGATGGTAATGACTTCGTCGGTGGCAACGAGGAAAAACTGGAGAAGTGAACCAATTCGGATTGGCATTGTCGGAACGTATCGATCAGACGGTAGATCGAGTTCTGTCCCGTCGTGGAACTCAGCCAATGCGAACGTGAAGTAAACTAGCAGAGGGAGAAAAAGTTGCTGACAAACGACGCGCCAACATTGACCGCTTTTTCCGTGACGCCGTGCGCCCCAACACCTCCGTCTCGCACTCCGTCCGAACATACGTCGGTAGTCTCGTGACGGATGGAGGATCAGAGACAAACCGCGGAAAATTGAGGAACAGTGAGTCCTGTTGTCCTCGGTCCCAGAATCCAAGCCTTCACCCGGCAGAACGTGGGCAGTATATAATAAAATTATGAGGAAAATGAAAATTCAAATGTGAAATGCTGAATCGGCCATAAGTTTTCGGAGTGGCTTTGAGCGTCGAGTCCCAAATGCGATTCAGCTCAAGAGACGATGCAGGAAACGTTTGAGCGGCAGAGTGTATCGCGGGCTTCGACATCTGAGAAAATGCGAAGAGCATTCTTCCCAAAAAATAAAAAATGGATCCTGTGGCATGGAGCGCCAGAAAAGCGTAGTCGGAGGAAAGGATGCCGAATTGAATGGAGAAATCCGTCTCGTGTTGCTGGACTTTCGGTTCTCGAAACTACTTCGCGGAGCGTTTCGGTGAATCCGTGATCACCGTCTCTCCATACCGACGAACGGCTTCTGAACCATCGCGTTAGTCCCCATTACACCATGGCGAGGACGTACTCGGCCTCGAGGAGGTACTTGACCCAAAGACCACGTGGACGGTCATTAATAACAATAACATTGGAGAACTTCTGTTTGTTCAGATCAACTTCCAGATAAGGGACCAACGGCCGAAGGAATGCCGTACAGACTGCCCGTTTCGCTTCAGCAAGTAGTGGAAAATGGTAGTGAGTTCTGCGATCTGAGGAGGGTCGAGGATGGGAGGCGTTCGAAGTGAATATCTGAAGGGAGCTCGTTGAGATGGTCTTACCTTCTGCTCGGCGGTCGCTGTCAAATGCTGCAGTCTCGTTGTCATATTCGACAAAGACTGCTCGAAGGCAGCTACCATATGAGCCTGGAATGAGAAATGAGGAATTCCGTAAGACAATGACTGAATTTCCGAGAGGATCTCTCAATTATTAGTTGTCATAATGATTTCGAATATTTTAGTGAACCGAACTTCATCGGCATAGGAAAGAAATTGAGTTTTATCACGTATTTCAAGAATACATCAGGATTTAGCGAAGGCCTTGCCGAAACGAAGACGCCTTCTCATTACCTAGAGTGTGAAACGCAGGTGGTGCCAGGGGGAACTCCAATTATTATGAAGGGAAGCGATGATGGACCCGGGGTACTAAATAATAAATGAACAAGATCGAACAGCGTCTCCAGCGGAAATAATTGTCGGAAGTCTGGGTCTACCGCGCGGCCTGCACCGCGCCATTAATTAAAAGAAGCCGAAATCCGACCACACGTTTCTTAAGAATCATCGACAGATGTACGCCTCATTTCCAAGAGGTCAAGTCCGGTACTGCTTCTGCGGCGTTCCCGTATCATCTGGAAGTCTTGATGACGGAGTTGTGGTTCACGTAAGCGCCGCGCCGTAATCCGTTTAGAGTCAAGTGACGCCGTGCCGCGTTCAGCTGGCTCGGAGTAATCGTGACCAGCGGAGTCTTATCGTGCCACGAACTCATATCTAACACCTCTTCGTGACACACTTCGGCAGCCTGGCACTTACGGCGACGACTCCGCTGTCCACCGTGGACGGCCGCTTGTGAGCTACCAACGGTTGAGCTTGCAAATGGGCGGGTGGTGACGGTCGTTCCGTACTGCGTACTCTTATATTTTGCTTTCGCTCCGATTTGCGAAATCCGTTATGGAGGTTTTGCGCCCAGCGGAATTTCGCATTCTTTCGGCTGGGACCCACATATATCTGAATGACGCTTTTGCTCGAGGTACTTCATCGAACTGAACTTGTTGCAGGCCTTGTGTCCTCGCAGTCGAGACAGTCGGCAATTCAAAAAGCGATACCAGCGGCGGCAGAGGTTATTGTGCTTGTGAACGATTCGATTCGTAGGGGAAGCGAGGCCGTCGATGACTGACCGAATGGCATTTCAGCGAGAACAGTGCTTCCAACCCTAAACTATGCAAACTCCCCGCCGAAGACGAGTCGATTGAGCGATGCCAGTCGTCGACATCATGCAGCATGCGACTCCGACAAGGGATGTCTTGTGCGTGAGCTTGCGTTGTCTGAGAATTTTCCGATCGAAGCAACTTATGATGATGATCGTCGCCGGCGTCGTCATCATCGTCATAGTGATGGCAATGCCGATAATGATTTGATCCGAGCATTTTCTGAAGGTTCTGAAATAACCTCAACAAGATGGGCCCCTTTCTGGGTTGGGCATCCGAAGCGTGCTTGTGTCCTTTCGATCAGCGGTGGCCGCGGCGGATCGACGAGCACTTTGTTCCCTCAACAACTTGTGACAATGTCAAAGACATCACGAAATAATCGCCCTCGATGTCGTCGTTATAAGCTCGAGCTAATTTTCTACGGCTTGAATTTCCGTCACGGCTTCTTCGCTGAGTATGCGACGCCGGCTCTCGTCTTCGTGGCTCAGGTTGTCGCCATCGTCGGTTTTCCTGCTGATATCTTCCTTTGAATCGAATGTCGCTTCTACGAATTTTTGATCTTGGATAGCGAACTTTCTCAGAGGAGAACAACACAAGACGGCTTCGTGACCTGATTTGCATTGCGGAGCGTTAGGTGATGGACGCTCTGTGGAATGATAAATGGAATTCACGGAATATCTTTATCCACCTCTTTTCCCTCTGCGGCGTCCCACTGGCTATTTGGATTGAAGAAAGCTCTCCGAAACTGGTGCGGCACGTTGGAGAGCTCGTAAATGATTCGGAAATCGAGAATTCCACTGGAGCAACGAGGGACGCGGTCTCTCGAAACTCTGTAATTCTTCAAATCCACAAATCAACATCCATAAAAGTCAGGAAGGTAGGAGAGATTTTTTTGAGGCGAAGGATGGGACAATTGCGAAGCCTCGTTGTGGGTTATAGCTTCCTCGTCGGAGCTGTTTCGTGACGATTCTGCAGAGGGACCGGAGTCTGCCAGAGAAGCGGAAATTCTACCGATCGCCTTACGGTCTCCCTCGCCCCATTTGAGCCCATCAGCGGAGAACCATCGGGTGTTTCAGGAAGCATACGGAACTCATGAGAGGGAGGTCTCACAGTTTGGACGCGTCGCCGACTATCTCCCGCATATTCGTCCGCGCAGCTATCGCTTGTGACTCTTCTGCTCCATGCTGCTCGATGCGGGGAGTCGAGACGACGGCCGAGGAAGGAACCCGAAGAGGCCTCGGTGTATTGTATGTAGGACGTTTGTAGAACACCTGTCTGCCCGAAAGCGAATCGGAAGTCCCCGACGACGCGACGCTCAGACTGGGATTCACACGTTTTCTGTGGAGTCGAGTTCTCTGCCACTAAGATGCAGCGTCCGAGAACCACACAGATGTCCCAAGAGTGATGAAATATTCAGCCAATCTATTCGAATGAAATAGCATTCCAAGCTCCAGGCAAGAATGGAGACAGATCACCATATATCATCATGACTTTCTCCTGACGATCGAGGTATTACGAGCTAAGGTGATTCGAACAACGGTATCGCGGGTCGTACTCATCGAACTCTAGCAAAGATCTCAGACGGAAAAATTCAACGAACGCCGAGGCCGTCGATGCCCGTGCGAAGGCAAGAAGAGCATTTGTGGTTCCCCTACCATCTGCGGACGATTTATGTACATACAGGTTTCGCTCGCTCGCCAGCAGTTTCAGTGCAACCGGATATTCATCGGAGAATTCACTTTTATGGTTCAATCTTCCTGACAATTCAAAAACCTTCATTCTCGGACCCTGTGAGGGGGAGAATGTACGAAAAGAATCATTGGCGACAGATTGTTTTCGGGCAGTACCAATGTTCCTTTTCGAGGCGAGTATTGGTGCGAGATATCACGACTTGGCAACTCTTACTGATAATGACTTCGCCGTTAATGATTCGTTCGAGCCTTACGGATCCCGGTCGACTTTTTCTAAACCTCGGATTCCCCGCAAATGATCTCCCGTATTCATCGGTGAGGGTCTGCTCCATTTCTCGAGAAATCCATGGACAGGAATCGCGCCAGTTTTTCTACTGAATATCTCCGTTCACCCCTTCAGGCCAATATCTTCCAGGCATTTTCTAGAATTCCGGTTTCAACTTCTGATCCTCTGCATATTCCCGACGTGCCCTTCCTATCGCGCAATCTATCGCCAAGCTCAAGCCTGGCTCTGACCCAGAGATCTGAGACTCGGATTCGATTTGTCGTGTTTTCTCCTCTGCATTCGGTTGCGCGCAATACCAATTACCCGCGGAGCGACATTCTTCAAATTTCGACGCCGCATTCCGTAATCGTGATCACTCTCCAAGATTTCGGCCAGAAAACGCTTTTCGTTCGGGAGCCGATCGGAAGATTTATGGCGTGGCGTGTTCCACGGAAAACCGCCCCGCTTGACTGCGTACTATCGGTATGGTTTGTATTTGAGAAGTCATTATGTACACGCACCGGCACTCAGGCTGTTTGTAAGGGCTCCTTCTGTATTCGTGCCGCTCTAGCTCCAGAAGTAGGCCAAGCCGTTCGTCCGGTTAGATTCAGTTGTTTTATTATTTTCTTCTGAGCGTCGCGTCGCAAAGAGCTGACTCAATCTTATCGGCGCTACCGCTGACGCCGCGCGCCGCGTCCCTCGCTGCCTCTGAGAAGGACGAGAATTTTCCTTCTGGTACACAGTATGATATTTTTCCTCAAGGAGGCCATGTTCTTTTCTGGAATACCTAGCGGGGGGCCAAGTTCACCGAGTCTTACTCCTAGATAAGACTCTAATGGGCTCATGGTTCGGACGGTAAACGATCCCTAATCCGGAAACGGAGCCGTCCAGCGTCTCTGCCCCGAATCCTGCGGGCAGTACTCTTCAAAAGATAGATCGTACCGAAGTTCAGGGGGAAGCCGAATCACGAAAAGACCCGACTGCGTCTATTCGGTTCGTGTACTGAACTCGAGCCAGCTGGGCCCGGAAGAGTGGAAGAAAAACCGATGCTTCCTATCCGAATTCGCTTCTCTTCGCTCATAAAGTCCCACCGTCGTCGACCGTCAGGGCTAGAAATAATTACCACGTAGAAACCTCACACCTCTCACGTGAAATCGCACCAAGTGCTCGTGGCGAGCGTTGGTGCCTTATAAGGTCGAATGACGAACAGGCAGCTGGCGAGCTTCACGATTTGTTTCGTGGCAACTCTAATCCCGTCAATGACACCTGGCTCTTCGAATGACCGAGCAGCCGAATGACTAGCTCGAATGGTTAGTTTGCTGCATCCAACAACAAAGAAAAACTTCGACTCGAAGCGAATCACGCCGGACGCAATGAGGGAAGAAGGAGCAGCTTTGTCAATCACGGGTCGCAACAATGCCGTCCCGTATATTCTCGAGAAACGAAGGTGTCTGTTCATGTTTGTGTGAGCATGCATGCGACGAGCTTCACGTGTCGACCGTGAGTATTGTTCTTAATCTGAATACCGGTTCTCCTCTTCAGTCGAGGATGGATGTGACAAGTTCACGAGAAGCAAACCCATCATCAAATCTCGCATTCCCGCTTCAGATCTTCGAGCATGTCACAAGCACACGCAACAGTTCCGCCGAGCAATTGTCGAGCTTCAGGTGAGCGATGCCGAGATGTGAACTCCCGAAGTTCTCGCTGTCGACAATCCTTACGGATCGTGGAGGCGTTCCCCGTGGTACAGAGCGGTATCGAGCTCGGAGAGATAAGTAGATCGTAATCTCGATGAGGTCAGTTTCGCGATTGGGGGTGTCGCGGTCCGGACTCGACTTTTATGAGAGATATAAGCAGCCTCTTATATGAGGGCAACTCGTGATACAGTCGTAGCGCGACTGCTTGAATAAATCGTAGCTACGTGAGAGGAAGTCGACCGTGGGAAGCCGCTACAACGAGCCGAGCTCGCCTGATTGACTGCCTACC